TATCTCTTTAACAACGAAACTGGCCCACGTGTGATAATGTCCTTAGGGAACTGTGTATGTTTAGCCTGGAGAAGATACGGTTAAGAGGTTATATGATAGCACTGTTTAAATATTTGAAGGGATGCCATATTGAGAAGGGAGTTAGTTTGTTTTCTGTTGCTCCAGAGAACAGGACCCGGAACAACAGATGCAAGCTACAGGAAAAGAGATTCCACTTCAACATTAGGAGGAACTTCCTGACAGTAAGGGCTGTTTGACAGTGGAACACACTCCCTCGGAGTATGGTGGAGTCTCCCTCCTTGGAGGTCTTTAAGCAGAGGCTGGATGGCCATCTGCCAGGGGTGCTTTGATACTGTGTTCCTGCATGGCAGGGGGTTGGACTGGATGGCCCTTGTGGTCTCTTCCAACTCTATGATTCTATGAGTGCATGATTCAACGTCACTGGGGTGGTGACAAAGCCCAAATACAGACCTACCTGGGATCTACAAGGTAGTCAGAATCCTGTATCACAGTTATGAATGTGCAACTTGGAGTTATGCACTCAGAAAGTATGGAAGATATCAGTCTAATTTCTCTGGGAAGGAAGTTCCAGGGGCTGGAGGCAGCCACTGAAAAGGCCCTCTCCCAAGTTCCCACCAAATGTAACTGTGGGACAGAGAGTAGGGTCACTCCAGCAGATGTCGAAACATGGCTGATTCATAAAAGAGAATACTATCCTTCGAATAACTTGGACTTCAGCTGTACAGGGCTTGAAAGGTTTGAATTGTACCTGCACTTTGAATTGTGCCTGGAAAAAGACCGGCAGTTTGTGGAGCTGTTGCAACAAGGGAGTTGTGTGCTTTCTGTAGCCAGCACCCGTTAGTAATATTGATGTAGCTCTTTTGAACAGCTAAAGTTTCCTAACACTCTTCAAAGGCATCCCCATGTAGACTGCGTTAAGAGTAATCCAACCAAGATGTAACTAAGGCATGTGACACCATGGCCAGACCTGCCGTCTTAAGGAATGGGTGTAACTGGAGCACAATATTTAACTGGGCAAATACTTTCCTAGCCACTGCTGAAACCTGGGCTTCCAGGCTGACCCTGCTTAGCTTCCAAGATCAGAAAGGATCTGGTGGGTCACTGTGGGAAATTTAAATTGATAGTACAAGGTCACCCAGTGAGTTTCCTGGTTCAGTAGACCTCCTATTTCCCTGTCCAATAGTATAACCACTGCACCTCATGGGTTCTCTCTTGAACACAGGACACTGCATATACCAAGTCAAACTATTGCCTGTCTAAAGCAGAATTGTCTATTCCAGCTGTCTGCAGTTCTCTGGGGTGTCATCACCTGTCTCCTGAGCCTTTTTTGGGGAAACATCAGGTATTGGTCTTGGAACCTGCCACACACAATGCATAAGAATAAGCTGATCAGTGGTTTCTCCCTCATCGGAAACCAACATGCTAAGAACTGATGTGAGATCCTCATAGCTTTTCATCTGGAACCATAAAACAAAGAACTTTATTTCATGTGTGGAGAACTAACCACCAAGACTCTGGACACAGAAAGAATTTACATTTTAGCTCCCCAACCAGAGTGTGCTGTCTAATTTTACTGTGCAGATGGTATCTTCTAAGGCATTGTCTGGAAGGGATTGCTGGCTGACTGAGCATCCTTCCATTTGCAGTTATGCAAAAATAGGACTGGCGGAAAACCAAAGTGATCTCTCTTTCTGTGTCTCTTTCTTACTGTCTCTCTCATGTGGCTGTAAATTAATGTTATGGATGGAAACTGACAGGAAACTCCTGCAAATCAGGGTTTTTGCTCAACATCTGGAGTCTAAACTTTGAGTTCCCTCAACATATATGGATAAAGCAGGTGAGGCATTCTCTCCCTTCTTAACATCCTCTCCTCATTACTGACTTCCTCCTGTCCAAGTCTTTGGATTTTACAAGAGAGATTTTCTTTACCCGTCAGTTCTTCTGCGTTCATGAAAACAGCTGTTATTTCTCCAAAGGAACATTCAAGGGTTTCCCCCTCTCTTCTCCACAAGCCGTCAGGCACTTTCCATTGTATAATTTGGTTGTTAAGAAAACGCAAATGCTTCTTGCATATGCTTCTCTAGCAAAGGCTTTTAGACTTTAAACATTTAAACATGGCTTGATGTGAGAGATGTGTAGATTTGACATAATTTTTTGAACACATCTGAGACTTCAGCATAATGTTATCTGGCCTTGAACCTGCAAATTTACTAACCCTATTTAGGCATTCAATAATCCAGTTAAAATAAACATGTGAGGAGGAGGAGGAGGAGGAGGAGGAGGAGGAGGAGGAGGAGGAGGAGGAGGAGGAGGAGGAGGAGGAGGAGGAGGAGAGAACTCTTATCTTGCCCTTCTCTGTCAGCACTATATTGTGAGCATGACCATCTAAGTTCTCCACTTGCTGAGGAACCCAGAAGTTCTGGATTGTTTCAAGATCCTCCTTGCAAAGGTGGAACTTACAGACTCTCCTCCAGCAAAAAAATGGGTATTATCTTTCCCCCATATAATCTGTTTGTCATCATTTTTCAGACCCAGCTGTACCACATGTGGCAATGGTAGTCTCCAGCTATTATGCCTGAACCCTAGCTAAGGGCTGCATCACATGGCATTCCCCTAAAGAGGTTTCCATCCCTCAGGTGTGGTGGAAAATACAATCCCACCACCAATATTGAAGTAAGGTTCAACTGGTTGTCCATTCAGCTTTTGACCAAGATCCTGCATGGTTTTTCCAAGTTGTTAGGCCTTGGCTCTGTTGGGTGGCACCAGGGAGTGGTTGTGGATAATAGGCAATGACTGGACCTCTGTTAGTGACACATGCATGTGTAAGTCATGCTATGCATGTAGGATGAGCTATTCCCTCAGACATATTCTGGCTACAGTGGTGGAAGCAGAGCTGTGCATACAGCAATGCTGTACACTACGGTTGCACATTGTGAATTCTGGCTGCTGACTTGCAGGTTGCAGTTGTACACTGCACAGTGGCACCCAGTCATTGACATGTGTTATCCAATGTTTCTATTTTGCATTGGGGTTGCATGTTGCTGGCTCCATATGCAGACATTTATGCTACATGGAGGACATGCTGGATTGCAGCCGCTCTGTGTTATTGCTCCCAGGTCCTCCTTCTGAAGTTGCTGTTCTCTTACCATTTCTGCAGCAGAAACCAGAGAGAAGAACTCCTCCCACACACCCTTCTGGAGGACTCTGGCAAACCTTAGTGCTGATGTCATCATTTTGTGTCTGGCAATGGGGACACAGCCACTCTTCTATAATCCTGACTGCTCCCCAAGAGACATGATATGGTTGTGTGGGGGGCCTCAGAGGCTGTTAAGTAAGGGTTTTTTTTTGGGGGGGGGTTGCAGAGAAAGAGAATATCAACCTCTGCAGTGCCCAAAAAGTACACACAGCTAAGGAAAAACTTACGGGTGCCTATGTTCCTAACAGGATGCCAGCCTTATAGTATGTGACATGTAGCATGCAATTTATTTTCCACATGTTCTCAGAAACCACAATGTTTGATAATGTGACCAAGCTGAAAATGATTTTTGAGGCTTTTTCTACAGATAGTCTTCCATATTCATGGATTCCACCATACACGGCTTGAAAATATTTTAAAAAAATATACATTCCAAAAAGCCAGCCTTGATTTTGCCATTTTATATAAGGGTTAGGGACTTGAGCATCCATCGATTTTGGCATCCATGGAGGGTCCTAGCACCAAACCTCAGTGGATACCAATGGTCCACTGTACTTATTAGGCAATGATCCAAGTTGACTCTCCAATATTCAGAATCAAACTGGCAAGATTCTGCATAAGCAAGAATAAACCAAAATACCAATTTTTCATAGTGTGCTTTATTTTATTTTTCTCACAAAATTAGCTGGAATGCTTAGTGGCAGCATGATTTATGACAACTTCAAAACAAAACAATGTACTTATTTTAATAAATGATAATAAACAGGCAAACTATTTTAATTTTTTTTACATACAGCATCCAAAACACTG